CAGCTTTGCTGGACCTGCACAGATAAGCAAGGATTACAGAATTAATTTTGCAATAAGAAAAAGCTATTATTGTCTTCATAAGTAACCTTTTTTACATGCTGCATTGTGGCACATGCCTCAGTTTCACCCTACACGCTCTGGAGGATGTTCCCAGAGATGCTGTGGGGACAGTCCTTGCTGCCAGGGTGTGCCTGCCCTCTTCCCCGCTGTCCCTTCAAACCATCACATGCAGCGCCCTAGACCACACCGTGCTTAGCCTGCAATGGTGATGGGCTGAGAATAAAGTCACAGGTGTCTAGTCTCTCACAGCAGTAACTAAGCCTTTGGACAGCCACTCGAGCGAATCTGGTGCTGAAAAGTGAATAAAAAGCCTACGCACGTGCTGGTGAGCCAGAGTCTACTTTGCCAGCAGCAGCTGGGTGCACATGGAGCCAGTGAGAGGTGCTGAGCAGGCAGCTTCAACCGCTTATCCGTGCAGGGACAGCAAGCAGTCAGGTTTGGCAATTTCCACAGGGAACTGTTCTCTCTTCTGAGCAGGCTGGCGCCTCGGTGGCAGAGGCAGCTGTCCCCAGGCCGCTCGCTCCCTGTCTGCGCAGCCAAGAGCTGGCTGGGAGCAGCGGTCAGCAGGGCAACGCAACCTGGTTAGGCACTGGAGGGAGACCAATACCACGTTTCACACAGACATCTTTATTTTCACATTTCTGCATGGATGCAAGAGAATGTTTTTTCCTGGGATGGGCTGGTTAGACATATTATACCCTACAGAATGGAGTTTAGCAATTTATATATATATATATATGTACACACATATATATAGTCTTGCAAAATTTCTTCTGCATTTCTCCATGTGTCAAAATGGATGTTTACAACAAACCAGAGCTAAAGGGACACTGCGAGGTTTTATTTTGTTCTCTAAAATAGAACAGCACTTGCATTTTTCTTCAACTTGATTGCCTGTTCTCCAGGTTATACTTGAGCAAAAATGCTGAAGAGAAAAAACATGCCTATAAGCTTTCAGTTTTTACTACTCTGAGATACTATCAGTGATGCAGGTAACATTTTTAACTTATTTGCACAAGGGCCAGACTATCAGGTGTCTGTCACCGCACCAAATACAGGAGCAGCCACAGCACACTGCAGCGGTCTGTCTCTATGCAGATAAATACGAGTTTACAAGAGTCCTGCTTCAAAACGTTCCGCTGTAAATTTGTAACCTGACAGTGTCCCTTAAGAAAAAAAGTACATACTGGGCTTAAGAAAGGACACCTTCCTACAGATATTTTCTTTTTATTATTAAAACCAACATTTTTTAAACCATTCAACAAAATGTAATACAAATGACTGTTGGAGAACAGCATCTGTAGGAGTGAAGCTATGCACTGCTGCTCCATTAACATGGCTTTAATTATCACCGTTTACATTATTTGCACATTTCCTTAGGTCTTTCATGGCATTACAATGAACAAGAAAAAAAAGGTTCTTACACTGCTACTACCATCTCCATCTCATCAGAGGTCACACACGGACACAAAGATGTTTGTTCTCAACATGTGTCACAGCCAGGCAACGCCAAAGTTCTGCCCACAATGCTCGAACCTGAGGAGATCCGTACCTCAGGGTTATAGCTTGACTTGTGATTACTCACAGTATTGCAATGCATTCAAAATTAATAGGGAAACAAACATCCACGGTAACAGGCACGTTACTTTTTTTTTTTTTTTGCATGATCATTAATCACATTCCTATTTTTCAACAGATTGTTGCCTAAAATGCATGTTAGAAAGGCTTTTTTTTTTTTTTTTAGAAAACGCTGGCATGAAGATGCAGACTAATGTTTGTAACTAATGAAACAGACTAATGATTCAGACATTATTTAAACATTCACAACTTTGAGAAAATGTGCACAGCTGATAGCACTGACAGATAGTCTAACTGTAACTTAAAAGCCAGCATAGTAACTACCTTCCACATACTGGCAGCAGGATTTATGATGGTAGGAGATTAGAGCAGCATACTATGTTTTATTTAGGAAGCTGTAGTAGTAAGTATTTGCCATAAATATTTCAAGCCCCATTTATGAGCTATGGGAGGCTTTGCAAGTTTACAAAGTAACATTCACAGCAAACATAAAAAACAAACCCAAAGACACTTCCATGCAGAGTATGAGTCTCTCACAGTCACTGGATCTCTGTCATCTGGTGTCTGGAGCACACGTGCCGTATACACGTACGCTGCTCGTGGAAAACCCAGAGGCCTTCTATGCACTGATGCATACCAGCCTCTAGCTGATATCAGAGACAAACACGGGATAGTAAATGGTTTTGCAATGGCAATGACGCCGCCACAGACAGAACTGACAATTACAGACGTGTGAGAATACAACTGTAGGGTACCACTTGGCAAATCCTCCTGTCTCAGCTAGAGCGGACTTCAAGGTCAGCAACCCACAGCAGAACATCGGGTACGCACAGGTGAGGTCTGGACTCCCGCAAGACCAAAACCGAGGCTTGTTATGCCTCAAGGGCAGAACCAGGACCAGTGCGGCTTTCAGCATCTCCCTCTCTGCCTAACACACCCCCATCGTTACTGGGAGCTGAAAAGCGACACAGTGGAGCAGAACAGGAGATGCCGAAACTGCAGGGTCACTAATGGGGGGCTGATTTCAGCAATGCACTTAAGCACACAGCGAGAGGAACACCCAAATGTTTGAATTGTGTTGCCCAATCGGGGCCACGCTCAATAGGAAGCGGTTAGAGCCCCTAGGACACGGGCACCCCTGCGCCCTGCTAGTGGAGACACAGGAAACACAGCTGAAGCCAAACTCATCACAGTATCTCCAGAGATTAATTTCGCTTCAGGAACCATGGTATCATACAATTAATAATGTTTTCTTTTGAAAAGGGCACATGAAAATCTTGCTAACTTTTCAGGTTTTGTGTGCCACGTCATGAGCACATTTGGAGCAACAGTCAGAGGAGAAAGGCACTGTGCTAGCCCAATGCAAATGCTTGTCTTCCATTCTCCTGACCGCCCTCCCCTCAGCTGGAGTCAACTGCTTAGACTGACAACAGACAGATACTGTTGGGGGGGGGGGGCAGGGAAAGCAGGTTATCATTATATTCAATTCTGTCATTTGCTAAAGTGACTGCAAGAAGAATCAAGAAGGAACAGTGTAAACATTGTGCCTTATTCCAGCTACAACTGATGTCTTTATCAAGTGCCTATTAAATAAAAACTAAAGAGACAATACCGGACATCTGGGGAACAAGGCTACTCTCACAGCATCGCATCACTTCTGTAAATCACACCACGTTACTGGAGTTGCAATGCTCTGTATCACTGCTAGGAAGGAATTAATTAATGGTATTTGTATGAAAGGCAATGAACAGGATAGACTGGGGTGTCATTCCTGCATACATGTAACTTCCCTCATTTGAATGGCACTTGTGATGGCAAGTGGGCAAATTAAAGGCACAAAGTTAAGACCACATAGAAGTGTATGGAGGAGCACAGTGACAGGGGAAAATATCCCATCTTGGGAAACAAGCGTAACATTACACTAGTACTGACCAGACCTACTTCAATAATCAGGAATACTTCAATAGATTCAATTTTTATAAAACATAGGGCTACAGAAATGAGGCATTCTATATATTTCATACTATAAAAAGCTTCCACTCATGTAATTTTTAAAATATATCTTCACTGCTAACAGTATATTTGTAATATAATATCTGATATAATAAAAATATATGCTTACTGGATGGGAGCGGTGTTGCACTATGGCAGGGACTCTCCTTCCCGTGTGGTTCAAGCAGCTGGAAAAGTTGGCTGTTCCCTCATTCCCTTGGTTTCTCAGCCATCGGCTGGCTGGAGACTGCAACAGCACTCCGGTATATTAACTTTCTTAAGAGTCCTTTACAAAGCAGGCTCTGAAACGTTCCTCAGCTGACAATCTACTGGACCAAATCCAACCTTGATGTAAATTCACTGCATGACTCTTTCTATTTTTCTAATTAAAAAACCCAAACTCCCAAACCAACGCTCTATTTGGTGTTGGTAAGGAAATGGGACTTGTGCAAGTCATGCAACTGCATTGTAGGAAAAAAAATTTTGCTATAAAAAATGTTAAATTAGCCAAAGGGATATATGGGCCTGGCGGCTGATTCTGAGACTAATAGCAACTAAGTAGCTCCCAAATAAACTTACAGGGCACTTTGTGAGTGCCCAGGTCTGCACGTAGAAACACAGCTGCATCATCTGGGCCCTCTTCTGCACCAGGTAAAATTGGAAAGCTTAAATAAATCCATAAAGTGGGTAACACCTTACTGTAACTTCCAATGGAAAAATACAAACATTCAAATGATGAATTTAGGAAGCATGTGCCAAACTACACCCAAAGGACCATAGCACATGACCACGGTGCTGCTGACACGCACACAGGAGAATCACTTGGTGTCCCACCACGTGCTGGGACCAGAGCAGGTATTCATCTTCCTGAACCAGCCCTTATAAACCTGCCCGGTCTTGCAAGAACTTACTATAATTGAAATGAATTTGTTCAGTAGTCTGAAATGTATATGTGCAACACATTTTGCTCCTTTCTGGCTCACCCTGGCATGAAGATCCTCTAGTTAACGTGTTCAGGAAAAACTCCACCAAACTCAGCATGGTGGCACCAGTGCATGTGAGAGGAGAAGCGGGATCTCTGCAGAAATGGGGATACGGGCTACACGGGCTGTCTGTGTAACGTCCTATGTACATTCACTGTTCATTGCTTACAGACTGCCCTGGTAGATTTGATTTTTGTCAAAGCAGATTAACGCAAGGCATTCATAAAACATTTTGCCATATGGTAGTATGGACCGAGCTTGTCATTGCAATAGATGGCCGAGTAAGCTATTGACATATGCTATCATATGTAATCAAGCTTGCTAGAGTAAAAGCAGGACTTATGCCTAGCAAACAACACTGTACATTACTCATTGAACTTTGAGTAGCAGTTCTCTCATCAGGATTTATTAAAATATTCACATGCTTCCAGAACGGAACAAAGGTCCATCGGCATCTCTTGGGGAGAAGAGGTGGGACCACTTGCATTCGGTTGCCATTTGGTTTGAGATGTCATACAAAATCCTCGCACACTGAACATGGCTGAATTGTAAAAAGCGTTCACCCAGAAAGAGGTCTCTGTTACACAGAAAGTCTCTGATTCCTCCAGCGCTTGCCAGACACTGTTACATCACGTTCTCAAAGAGCTGTAAGGATCGCATGATATTGTCGTCCTGAAAGCAATGAGAAGACACTTTCATAAAAGCAGCACTGAAAGCATGACTCGTAGCTTTGCATGGCACAGGAGGGGCTCTGCAGCTACTGCAGGCAACAGCCTTGCTTCCACAATGCCCTTCTTCCTCAACGAGCTGGAACTGATCCGTGATCAGGGCCTGATCCAGCAAAGCAGTCGTCTCCCTTTGACACCTTAGCTGGCTCTTCTCCTAAGCCTGACACGCAGCATGGGCTGTGCTTTACTGCAGAAAACCAGACACCAGCACTGAGCTGGGGACTGTGCTGAACCCTCAGACTTCAGTGCCCAACCGCATCTCATTGATTCTGAACGTGCAAATATGCACTCAGCTAATATGCTTCTAAAGTCCACACGAAATTGCAGGTTTTGAACTGATAAGCAAGCTGCCTTGAAGGACCACTTCATCCCAGAAATACAACCAGGTCAAACCTAAGAGATGCAATCTCAGCCTCTCCGAGGTTCCTAGATCCAAACAAGAAAATTGGAGACACAAGGGAAATCCCAGATTGCTTTTCATGAAGCCTCAAAACTGTATAAGCAGAGTGATATTCAAAAACATAATGATGATTTCTCCTCCAGGAATTCTGTTATTCTAAAAGTTAGAATGACTGTTTGTCTGTAATGTGAAAATAATTTTCCCCATTGAGCAACTGAAGAGATCTACTGCATCTCATTCCTCTGTCTTCCTTTGAGGCTGCATCTGTCTCACCTCTAGCACAGTCTGGTGGGTACTGGTACAAGGTACCTTGCATGGGAAACCAATCGTCCTCTCCAGAGCAATGCTAACAGTTCACTGCACATGAGCCCTATCCTCAGACACGGCAAAGGCAAGCACTGTAGTGCACTTTGGTTTGCTTTTCATAAAGACAAAAAAAACCGCCCATCTTAGTGTTGCAGGTCTTAGTGCCGTCTCTCAGGAAAGCACACGTGACTGTGCATCGGTCTGCACAGCCCCTAGTGCAAGTACCTCAACAGAAGGAACCAAACCCATGCTGGGGCACAGCATTAAACAAACTCTAACGGTTAAAAGCAAAGCAAAGCAAAGCTGCTTCCATACTGAGACCACTAATCACAAACGCGCATCCAGCCTGAAGGCAAATTATGAATGTGAAGAATAATGCATAACGCAAACGGTGAAATTAAAGACAAGGCCACAAATGAGCTAAACAATCAGGAGGGACCGAGAAAAAAATTATCCTTGTATTACGCATCTGCTAACAAGGATTTTGCCTCCTGGAGTCCCTGACTGAGAAGTAATCTGGATGTTGCCAGAGCCAGACACCACAGAAAGAACAGGAAGCCAGCCTAGACCTCTACAGTGAGCATCTTCACATCGCTCAGGTACAGAAGAGCTGTCTGATTGCAGAACAGGAACCAGGGAAATTAAAATACACAGGAGGGCTGGTATGCAAATATTTGCACCAATGTAAACATTCTAAAACGCACAGGCCATTACTGTCCTGATTAAATATCAGAGATATCTCTGAACAAACATTCACACAGTTAATTACAGCCTAAGACAACAGACTCTTGGCCAACTGCATGGTAATGCAGATGCTTGTAAATACCAGCAAATATTTATTACAGCCAACCTAATGTCAGGAATTTGCAAGAAAGAGCTTATTTCCAAAACACACACACAAAAAAACCATTGCTATGATGACAGCATTTGATTTCAATGTTTGACCATGTTTTCATGGTCAACTACAAGATTTTGAGAGACATTTAGCTCAGGGCAGTTCCAGCAACATGGCATCTGCTAATGACATCCAGGGGCAGCACACAGAAACAATATCAGCCTCTTAAGGAAAAGAAAAAAAAAAAAGGAAAAAAATTAAAAAGAAAGAAAAATACTACGGAAGTTTAAGGGTGTTAAAAGCTTTCTCTAGAGTTATCTGCTTGTCTACAGAATCAGGTACTGCGGTTCACTCAAGAAAATAAAGGCACTGGCCAGCAGCACTGCAAACAAAGAGGCCTTCTCCTGGGATCAGTCTGGCCCTACCTCCCCATTCAGTCACAGGCTTCATAGAGCACCACCAGGAACTCAATCTTGAAGCTTGCTTTTTCACAAAGCAAAGAAAACCTGGGATCATTAGCAGCATCTTGTTTCAAATGGAGTTTGTCCAAAGGGAAAGCAAATGCTGCGGCATGAGCTAGACGTTTCATTGCAGTTATCATTTTGTCCTTACCTCCTGACACGATTCAATAAACTCTTCTAAAGTTACAACACCATCTTTGTTTTTGTCCATTTTCTGCAAAATAAAATAAAAAAATATTTGTTTCTATAGGTAACGCTGCAATTGCAGTTTAATATAATATCTGATGCAATCCAAGTAAACCTAGGGCATTTCACAAGCTTAGATTACAGACTCAGTGTCATGGGATAAATTTGCCAACTGCTAAGGACTTGATTACTTTGGTATTTGGAGAACTTTTGAGGTCATCTCCGACTATTCCTTCCTTGACATACACAGCAACCTCAGCCCTTATTAGATCATTTATTTATTCGCTGCCTCGCCAACCAGCACCCATATTCCTGTCTCTCTTTACAGGCAGTTGAGAGAAGCAGCACCGAAAGGCTGCAACAGACTCAGAGGCTTCAGACTTGCTGGATGTGGCATTTCCCAATGCAAAGGGTCAGACTAAGAGACAAATGAGACACCTTTGGAGCCAGGAAATCAGCAGATACTAGCGTTGGGCTGACTGGCTGCTAGGGTTTACTCTGGAATATATAGTGAATATATAGTGGAGCATAGGATTGAATTTAGGGGTAGCTTTACAATTAAGTATCAGTGCATAGCTCAAGTGTTAAGAAAAAACACATCAAAAATCAAGTACCTGGAAGAATACTTCTACGTGCTGCCTTGGAGCATCTTCCCTGAGCACTGGATACGTGTATTTCCCCATCATATCATAAATTGCCTTTACGATATCCATCATTTCCTACAGCAGTGGCATACAAACACAAAAGGGAAATTAACAGAAATGACAGCCCAATTTTTTCCTTTACTGCCCTTTTCTTCACCCTCTTTCTCCTATTACAAAACAGCACAGAGAATGCCTGTACATGTGCACGCAGACAGATAGATGCATCACCAAATACAAGTTCATCTACAAAAAACAATCTCTGAACATGGCAGCTGCTGGGGGTGGTGCTGGGCTGCAAGCGCTGTGCTCGGTGCTGAGCACTGTGGCACCAACCTTGTCCCAGACCCTTCTCCGGGGCCAGGGACCTTCACGGTGGTCACTGGGCGTGCGGCCCTTCTCCACACATTGCACAAACTGCCACACAACTCCATGAAACCACAAACCCTCCAGGTATGCGCAGGAGTTTGGAGAAGGCTGAGCAAAATGTGTTTGGAAGCGTTCAGGTTACCATGCTCAAAACCAAGGCTTCCCACAAAGGGAACAAGCAATACCAGAAAAGAAGATAAAAACAGATGATAATGCGGGGTTTGGGAGGGGTGCTGGGGGCTTGTAGTGCTTCAGGTAAGCCCACACCATATCTCCTAGTGCAGCCAGAAACGCCTTGTGCCTCAGTCACCGAGTAGCTATTGTCACCATCACCCTCCCCTTCACAAAGGTTATGCTGCTCATAGACGTAACCAGGATTTTGCTCCTGGCTAAAGCAATCCATTAAAGGCACTATAATATAAGAAAAGATGACCACAAAATCACGCAATATAAGATCACTGTGCACTTTGCTTAGACACAGATAAATGCTCAAGTCCAGTATGATTTGCATTTAATTAGCTGCATGCAAAATTATTTGTGCTCTGCAACAGAAACCAGTTGGCTCTCCTCAGAAATCAACCACATTTGTCAGAACACCCTTACCTCCTTGTTTATATAGCCATCCTTATTGATGTCGTACAGATTAAACGTCCACCTTAGCTTCTCATGAACAGTTCCCCGCAACAGAATAGACAATGCCATCACAAAATCCTGGTTCAAGGCAGAGAGAGAAATGTGAATTTTCATAACACCCTCTTCTAAACTGCCTTCTTTATATAACGCCAATCAAAAGTTACCTTTTTAGGATAGAGCACATGGTTATCAATCTCTTCTGGCTCCCTTTTCCAAAAAAAGTGTCTTCTCTTACTAAACTCAATGGACATAGCAACCTGTAAGATGACCTGAGTACTGTCACACTAATGAATGTGTATGAGGTAACCAGAAAAACCAGAAAAGTCCTCAAGTACTCAACTGTAGCCACCGTAAAGGCCAAGCTTATGGTACGGGTTAGGCAGCTTAGCAAGGCTGGAAGGGAAGACCTAATGGGTGCTGCAGCCTTAAACCATCTCCTAAGCCCTGGGGTGAGGGGTGTGAAAACAGCATGGGCTAAACAGCAGATCCAGTCCAGGTCAGGCAGACCTAGACCCTGAAGTTGACAGGGCAGTGGCCACTCTGGCTCCTCAGACTTGCCAGGAACAGCACAGTACACTCAAGGCCACAAGCTAGGACACTTTCCTTGCTACCCATCTAAACTTATCATGCTCTAAACTCTACATACTGCATGAATATAAGTATGGCAAAATACATATCTGTTTCTTAAGAGCACTATGAGATGCTCCAGTGGCCATTTCCCTCCTAGAGATGGTCTGCTGCAGGATGGAGGCCCTTAGACAGCTGCTGCCTAGTTAAACACAGCTGGACTCTTAACTCCTGCAGTGGAAGCCGATGCTTTCTTACCCCCAGACCTCGGGTGCTATTGAAGGAGGAGGAGGAAAATCCAGCATTTTCTCTGTGACCACCCTGAGAGGGACAGAAAGACCCCAAACCTCTCTAACACTGGCAGCCTCAGGTTTTGTTCTCTGAGTAAAATCTGCCAGACTTGACCAGATGCAATTCCCACCACTAATTACTCAGTCTGGGACACAGCATTTTAACTGTATTTGTTTTTGTTTACAGTAAAGTTATTGCTTCCAATAACTTTGATTCATTGTTTCTACTGCACGGTGGCTGAGACACTGTAAGTAGTATCACTACAGGGATTTATTAGTACAGGCAGAGCTCTAAGCTAACAGAGCCATACAGCTCCTGATACCTCATTTAACGTACTTAGTCCTCCCATGTTATCTCCATTAGCTCTGCATGGGGCAGCACATCACTTCTTAGAAACCTTTGCTCCTTTTTCCCAAGGCTCAGGGGAATATGAATTTGCTGAACAATACAAAAAAGAGGACAAAACGCTTATGTCTGACAGCCACTAAAGAGACAGGTTTGCCAGGAAGGAAAGCTCAGCACTTTTTTTTTTTTTTTTTTTTCCTTAATAAATACTTATCTAAGCATTTTGTGGTCTCAGCCTGTTTAGGTTTCTGGAAGTCTCTACCTACTGAGGTAGCTGCCATATGCACAACTCCCACTGCAGCCACTGCCACAGACACATGCATATATATGGTAACATTCCCATTTTACGTTGGATAAATGAACTGATTTCTCACTCTTACCTGGAAATTAATGGAGCTCTTAGCTATTTGATGGCAAAGGCAAGACAGCCTACGATTTCTAGTTTTATGATCACAGTAAACTATCTTCAAAACTATGAAGTTCATCCTCCACAACCCTATGACTTAACCCGTCCCTCTGCTGCACTCCAACTACAGGTGTGCATTTGAAGGATGGCTATTTGTAGCCACAGCAACAGGCCTTTTAGTTAAAGGGTGGTTTGGTTTCCCTAGGAACGAAGTACCTGAAATGCTTGTTCAATCTAGCAAATAAGCTACACTCCCCCTCGCTCCCCATATTCCAGGAACATACAAATGTAACCCTGCACTGCACGATGACTGAAGAAGACACGCAATGCACTGGCTTTTCTTTGACATCCAAATTCTCTGTGCAAATCACTGGGCAGGACTGTCTCAGGCTCTCCTCTGTGCTACATAAATCTCTGCACTTTCTCCCTGTGGCACTGAATAACGTTATTTATATGTTTCTTTAGTAAAAGGAAACATGCAACTCCACCTGCATAAATTAAAGTGAACCAGGTTTTAAAATACCAACTGATTTTAGACTGAAACCTCTAACCCATAATCCAACAAATCCTACTAGTTTACAATGAAGAATGGATGGAGAAGCTTAAAAACACAGAACTAAGGAAGTGATATCAAAGGAGGATGCAAAACAATTACCTCAAACTTCACTGAGCCATTTTGTGCAGTGTCGAATGCATTAAAGAGATAATGCGCATACATGCTAGCATCTGAAAAACACAAAGGGCACCTATTGGTACAGCAGTTTATTATACACTAATGGCTCTAAACAACATTCATGACCTTACTTCATTTTGTATAAAAACCAACCTTGTTGCATTGCCAGATAGCCTATGAACCAGTAAATATTAACATGGACTTGCATATTCCCCACGCTGTCTCTTAAAACAGCCTTGAAATAAAAAAGCTTTTATTACAGTAGAAATTATCTGGATTACAGGACTGTACTTGAAAGAATGAGCAAAAAAACCTCCCAAGAGTGTCTCTGGGGCAAACAGAGTATTAGCTCTGGTGGGAAATGCAGCAAAAGCACCAAAGAGCGACTGCAGCATGTGCACTTCCTTCCTCTACCTTCTGCTTTGTGTGAGAGAGGGCGGAGATCCCCAGGGACTGTCCAACTTCAGAAGGGTCAAATTCCAGCAACATGAGTTTGGCCCATAACTGTCAAAGAACAATCTCATCCGAGGTGTATTTTTGTCCTTTTCAATCTTAAACTGCTGGTTTTAGAAAATCTTTTCTAATGAGAATAGTTTCTGTGGCCACACAAAGGATGGCTGCTAACTGGGAGAAACGGTCATGGTATGCAGAAAAGAAATCAAACAGGTGTGTGATCTGGAGTTTCACCGGCCTGTTCCCTGCTCTGGATGCACTTCACACTGCTCTCTGCATTACTAGGGCTCAGCTTTTCAAGACAGAAGCAACTGATATTAAATTAACTGAATTATTTCATTGCTATTCTACCAACCATGCACTTTTTTGTGTCTTCTGTTCTCTGTCTCTGCCTGGTGCCCTGTGCTATGTGGGCAGTCAGGTGGAAAGGCTCAGCATCTCTTTACTCTGATGCCTATGAAATTATTAAATACTTGCCTGTTATTTAAATCCAGGAAAGTGTAACAGTGTGCAGAAAAATCAAATACTTAAGTCACTGTCATCCGTAAGGACTGAATACACTGGACTTCAGGAAAAAAAATTGTCTACTACATGTTTAAGAGAAGGATTATGAAATAAAATAACTCCAGGAGAAAACCATAAAATAATTTGTGGGACACTCTTCCAAAAAACTTCTGTTAAGCTGAACTAAATAATAAACTAAAAATATTGAACTAGAGTTCTTATTTCAGCAGTGCATGATATCCATTAAGAAATACTAGATCACTAGTATCATTTGATGATTAGCAAAAATGCAAGCCTGTCAAGGATAGAAGCCCAATGGAACAAAAATATCACAAGCCTGGGATGACACTGCACAAAGTTTTCATCATTCAGAGGTACTTATGTACCTCTGGAATGTACAAGTTTATTTGTACAGAGAGCCATAAAAGTGAAAAAAATCTCTGAGGAATCTGAAATCTCGCAATTTATGATGCTAAGGTTATACAAACACTTTAGAAACCAAATGAAAGAGAACAGCATGAAATACAAAATCACATCTGCTGCTACACTGATTTATTATTAAGCGTGGTTGTACTTCTATCATCATTAACTGAAGGAGAACCACATTGCAAGGGAATGGGACACAAAAGAAAAAAAGGCACGTCTGTCAATCTCAGCAGGGGAGGAAAAAATCATCTATCCATGACAAGATGCAGTTTCCATGCCTGACTGTTTTTCACACATGGGAAGGAATGAGTGACCTGAGGTGTGTCACTTGAAGGAGTTAGTGCGGTTACTTGGAGTAACTGGAGTTCCTTGGACTTACTGGAACTTAGGTTGAAAACACAAAACACATCCAGAAATACCTTAAGATTATAAAACTTTAAAATTTTGCATAATTATTAAAAAAGTAAATTGAACAGTTGCTTTTCAGAAGAGAAACAAAAGCAACAACAATGGGAAACCATACTGAAATTTAACGTGAACTTTTTATAGGTGTACATCTTAAGAGTTCCCATGCATTGTAAAACACCAGCTTAATGTATTTTATCTTGACATTTAGTTGATAAACCACTTGTCGATAACCTTTATAAAGTAAATGCCCATGCTTACACTCTTGGAGAAACTTCAGTCATCATTCCACAATGAGTATAATCTGCAGCTACTACAGACTGGAATTTATTTGGAAAGCCTCAAATGCTGCATCTTTTACGAAAAGGTCCCATAAACCCTTCACTCATTTCTTTCCATTTGAGAACAATATCCCATGGAATGTATCCAGTTAGAAGAATATATAGAATCTCGATGTTTTTAAAAGGCAAGAACATGCTTTATTTGAGAGGTTTAATACAATACTTTAATATTCTAATAGATTACTTGACTTTGTCTTAATTAGTCACACAAACACAAAAATGATCATTTCAGGTAGCTAGGTGTTCACACATCAACTAGGAACTGCTTTAAGAATTTTAGGGAGGTTTGATTAATTTGCAGGCCAAAACGAGGTCTAGGACCCTCCTGTGCTACGTACAACATGCACGTGCCAGATAAACACACACAGCAGTCCAACAGCAGGGAGGCAAAGACACTCTGAGGGGAAGTGATTTAGCTTTCTGCCATCCAGAAAGACACAACAGAAAAAAGCATAAATTCCCAGCTTCTATCTTGGACCAATGCACTGTTTAGTGGAGAAGAAAGGGCTGACAACTAGTGGCAATCTTTAACGTGGGTTTCTCTGTATTCTTGTGAAATAACTGTTCAAAGGGTCTAACTTATTACCTTGCTGTTTGTGGTTCCGTTTAAGATCCTGCAAAGCTCAAGCTCAATTCACATGTCTTGTACAGATTATCTCAAGTACGTTCCCAGCCAGCTGGCAGTAATGAACGTTAAGGCATGCTTCAATAAACCCGACAGACGCAAAATACTCTGCTTACCTCCATGAGGAAAAAACTGTGCATAGATCTGTTTGAATGTCTCTTCATTAACAACCCCACTAGGACATTCCTGTTGGAAAACCGAAAAAGAAATATCAATTAAAAAGCCTGCTCTGCAAAGGTTCATTTGCAAAACTCTACAAGCCCAAAGAGAGCGATGAAACAAATCACATTCATGTTCTCACAGTGCTCTGGATGCAGAGGCTGTGCAGTTGAAGAAATTAAAATAATTCAGTCTGCAATTTCATCTTAAGCATCTCATAGACTTTGTTCACCATTATTAACGTTTCTAACGGTGTTTTCCACAATGTTTACTCCCTGGTTTACAGGAAGACCTAGAAAGGCAGTTCATGTCTTCTATCATGTGAAGCTTTCATCTGATAATTACAGCTAATGTTAGTGCCAGCTCACACTGCCCTGTCCAATGCCTCCACGCACATGAATTCATTAATCCTCAGCAGAAGACTGTAGCCAGATACCGGACACTGGTTCCATGGAAGCTAACTGTACATGCTGTACTTGTAAGTCCTTACAACCAAGCATTAGGCTGAAAAAGGATAATTTTTAACCTGTTTATCCACTCAATCTTCTGTAAACTTCTAAAAAGCCAGACTGTGCCCATGAAAATTTTCTAAACTGGCAACCTGTGCGGTTATTTTATTTTTAAGCTCTGGTACTAGAATGCAAGGTTTATCCACTCAATCTTCTGTAAACTTCTAAGAAGCCAGACTGTGCCCATGAAGATTTTCTAAACTGCCAACCTGTGCAGTTATTTTATTTTTAAGCTCTAGTACTAGAATGTAAGGCGTTTAATTTCACTTCTGGCTGTTTCGAAGAAGGGCAAACACTTGGGCAGAGGGTGGCAGATTTTCCGCCCTGAACTTCCTGACCTGCTAACTAACCAGCCTCCCGGGGCAGCATGCAGGAGGGGAAAGGGGGTCCCGGCCTGGAGAGCTTGCGCTTGCTCTGCTCCAGCCAAGCAAAATCCAAGCTGTTAGAGTAGTCTGGGGTAGGAGGTGCTCCCTGGGCATGTCTGCAGAGTCTGGCCAGTACCTGTGAAAAGGGAGACGTGGCAGGTGTGAGGAGCTGGGCCCGCAGCCACTCTGCACTGTCAGTGGTAGCTGAACTGAGGCCCTCCGGTCTGTCCCCTGCTGCAGGCACCTGACCCCCTTGACAGCAATTTAAATCCCCCAGCCCCAGCTGAGGCAGTATGTCACATGGAGCGAGGAGGGAGCAAGAGCACTGCTGCTCCAGGTAGGACATGCTGAAGATGGATTATCTGAGGAGGTTAATTCAGAATCTCTCATGAAAGTGGTGCGTATATCTTGGTTTGATGCTTAGCATTAAGTTAAAGGCTGGATTTGGAATCAAGAAAGTTCATCAGTTACTGACAGTGTACTCACTCCATGCATTCTCCTTCTGTGTCACACTACGATTGCCGTTTCATTTTAATACAGGTCCTTCAGCATGGACTTTTCACAGATCTACAACCCTTTGCACAAGGAAGCACCAGCTTTCAGTTTCTGGAACCTGACTGCTACTACCCTTGCCTGATAGCCCTGAATTCCTGTATACAGAGACACAGCAAACAGTTGATCCTGATGCTTTTTCTACCTACCACTTGTGATTTTGTAGATCTTCCCTTTGTTATCTCTTTTCCAGGCTGAAGCATCCCACCCTGAGAAGCAGGGAAGGCATCGAGCACCCTTTGACCATCCCTCCTCTGCATCTTTCTATTTCCACCACACTCTCTTTGAGACAGCAGCCCAGGGGACTGCAAGCCTGCAAGAAGGTAACAGCTACCACAGAAGTATTCTCCCAAAGTTCACGTTTCCTAAAGCTTGCAATTTAAAGAATATTACATAAATACTCCGATATTTCTTTTTAGTATCTTTTAATCATAGATCAGACCAAGTACCCTATTAACAGCCATTCTTGGGTTGAAATTTTCTCCTTGGTCACTGGAGTGCTGCTGCTCCAAGACCCCCACTGGGCCTTTGCAGAGTTTCAGAGTATTTGACCAAATTGCCATTCTTTTTAAGACTAAGCCTAGCACAGCACCTAACCATGCTTTCCAGCACAGTGCTACCGGCCAAACACACTAAGTGAAGATGCATTTCTTTCTCTCATCTTGATAAATACAACTATTATATTTAATAAGAACCACCACTTCCCATGCTTAAAGATAGTTTATAAAAGTAGGGACTGATTATTTTTTCTATACTTTCCAAAATTGCCGAGTCCCTTGGGTCTCTACCATGCTACATTAATAGCCCGTGTTTACTAAGAGCCCCAGCCCACAACCAACCACCCAGAGAATGAAGCTGAAGTCTGCGAAGGGCAGGCTGCTGCTGCCTGCAATCTCCTGTAGCAGTTTTGGCTGTTGTGCCTGATTAAATTTCCTGAATTTCCACATGATCCTCATTGCTTCTGATGCTCCATCTGGAAGCCAAATGAAAGTTTCCATCAAGCCTCCAGTAGTGCTGGGGAGAGGCAGCGCTGATGTTGATCAGCCTGTTTAGCTCTCTGTAACTGGATTGCTTTCAGACACACATGCTAGTACCAATTCATTTGCACTTAATTGATCACAATTTTGTTTTTATAAGAGTCAAATAATGCTCAAGAGGCTTCATTAGTGCTACAGTACTACTTAATTCAGCTGACTCGAAAGAAATCTCTTGTGAAAAGGAGCGGGTAAGCTTAGTGTCAGTTTAAATTCCACTGAAGATAAAGATTCACTTATTCAAGAAAAACTTCCTGGCAGTATGAAAAGGCACAGTCCTTCACCATAACATTCGTAAGGCCTTCCTTCCACGGCAGGGGGTCACACTTCAGGTAAACACCTCTCATTTCTTTAAACTATGAATTATTTTAAAATGTCTAACAAGAACAGTGAACGTTTTTTTGTATTGCTGTCAAACACAGACAGAACCCCTCATTTTCAAAAGCTATCTATCGAGCACTGGCATTGACAGCACGAGTCATGCATTTGAGTCTACCCTCAGACTTCTTTTAAAGGACCAAACCACAAAGGAGCTGAATCCACAGTAAAACAAAAAAAAAAACAAAAAAAAAAAACCACAACCACACAAAAAACCCAAACCACAACAAAAGAAAATAAAACAAAAGTTGCACTTGCTGTTCTCTCTTCTGCTGTAATTGGAAATTAACTCCACTGATTGCTTTCAAAGATGTGCAATGCAGACACATGGGGATCAGCAGCAGAACTGAAGTGGGGCTAAACATAACATGCCCATCAGACTGTTCCGAGCTAACTAGGCCAGAACACGAAAAGGAATACTCAGAGGTTTAGCAAAACATAGTCTATCTGACCACAGACAAACTCTAACATATTCTCCTTCAGGATAGACAATCCAGATTTGAATCCCTAAGCATTCACATGTTCCACTTATTTTGTTTCTCTTAATATGTTCGCCCAGTTTGGGGATATTTGGGGGATTATTAAAGTATCAGAACATTTCTACCGTGCTCACAGTGCTTGCTTTAGTGTCCAAACACCTGATTTGTTACACGATTACATCTGATACTCCCCTTCATTAGAGGTTCACACTAAAGCAAGGTAAGAATTTCTCCAACAGCCCCTCAGTTATTCAGGATGTCTGTATTCTGATTTAGTATTAGAAAATTATCTCTTGCAGCTAACAATCATTTCCCCTAACAACACAGAACCCCTCAAGTTGAGCAAAAAATCCCACAAAAATTCCAATCCTTTTAAATCTACGTACTCCACTCCAAAGACTGTAAATCATTAGAAACATGGTCAAAATCAGAGATATTGAATTACTGAGCTCAAACCTCTGTCGCTGGTCGCTTTATTAGTCATCAATTTACCAATTTTAATCTTAAAAATAGTTTCTTGTTCTCCTCCCTCCTCATAACTGTTCCCCAAACTTCACTCCTCTGGGGAGTGGAAACTTTCTTCTAATTCCAGGCTATGCCTATTCATGGCCATTTTGTTCCCATGCCAATATTGCCTTTTAGCTCAAACGGTTCTCTCTCATGATGCAGACAGGAAGCATCACATTTTATTTTGTTAAGCTAAACCAAGGCAAGATCCACCAGAGGTTCTGCTGGGTTTTGCCATCTCTGCTACCTTGCTTTTGCAGAACCACAGCCAAAGAAATCACACCAAACGCCTTGTGCTAACCTGGTCCAGACTGACAGCAGCTAACTGGAAGGTGCAGAATGCACCTGGGGAGAGGATGAACTGCTAAGATAAATGTGCACTTTTGGTCCTGGCATCAAGAGATGGGGGCCAGCACCCTTTCACAACTGGAAAAGAAAGCCGAAGGCAAAGTGAGAGGGGACATCTGGCCAGGTAGCAGGGACACTGCTGGTTAGTGTGCTCTGCTTCTCTGGAGTGGCAAAGGGTCTGAATCTAGTGGAAGCCTTCATCAGTCTGGTGCAGAGACACCAGACCCAAGCAGCGACACACTAGAAAGAGACCGTGAAGGTTTGGAGGAAGTGGGGAAACAGATTTTGGAGACTGAAAAAGGAATAAAGCTACTGAAAATTAAGACCCCAGTCAGGCGGGGCACTAGCCGAGAGGCTACCCTAGGCTGCTTTGAACTGCCTTTGGTCAGACACCATCCATGTCCATGAACATCGAACCCTCAGCTCCTGCGGCTGCAGCCAGGCTGAGAGGGGCCTCGTTCTCTCCATTTCTGTTACAAGTGCCCCTAAATGGCTCTGTGAGTATCCAGGTGCTGCCTCATGATTAAACAGGACCTATCCAATCACCAAGAGCAAGCAGTAAGTACAAGCCAGAGAGAGGAAAATGACTGTATTCCCACAGGGATTTTGAATCTCCAGATGGCACTGTAACATCATCCCAAAAAGCAGACGGTTTGGTACAACAGCAAATATGGTAACAGCTGAGTCAGTTTGCCTGCTGTGCATAATTACTTATCCCATTGAAACCATGATTTACAGGCTACAAATGCTAAAGCTGCCCTTTCATTTCAATTTAACTTTAGATATTAAAGCCTGATGCATATCGTGGGCATAGCAGCTGGAGCAAAACAGACTGCTTTGTCCTAACAACCTGATACAAAACAAGATCTTGTCAGCACTGCCAATTAATACCAAGACCTTCAGTAAGCTCTTAGGAAAGGAGTTTAACTCACAAGTTAAATGCACTTATCTATCATTCTTGCCTCTGTACTGCAAAGCGACAGCAAAACTGGGAGGGGCAAGGGGTAAATGTCGCATCTGCTGAGAACTGCAAGGCTGCCTCTCTGTTTTGCGTTGTAGCTGCTGGCACAGCCAGCTCCTCCTCTCAGCATGGAGCAGTGCTCTCCCATACAGGATTCACAGCAAAAGGCACAATACAGAAGGCATTTCGGAGATCTCAGCAAAACGCAGAGGTTAACAACTCAGTCTCCCACCGCAGCCAGTCATGTCTCATTATATTGTATAGTAACCTGTCAAGCTCTGTCTCAAATCTGCTGACTGCTCAAAGCATGAAAAGGTTTCAGAATATCAGTCTTCAGCAGTTAGCAAACTTCACACATGAAATTACCTACGTGCAGCAAAGGCTGTACTAATACAACACACGCACCAAACACAAAAACATAGAAAGCTGAGCTATGCCTTGGCCCACTTAGGTGAGTGGTGAAATAAGGGATGAAACCACCAGATTCCCTGGAGAAGTCAAGTATACATTGGAGATGTGATTCAATCAGATTTCAAGAATCTATCAAAATGAAAGGCCCTTCTCAACGTCCATCAGGTTTCCCTCAACACTGCCTGTATTTAAGGCAGATCAGCCTTCTTTTGGCAAGTTTCTACCCAATAGACTTGACTTTCTCCTTCCAAGAAATCTCAGCATTTTGCTGTGACAGTAGCTGAAATGCTGGAGCTGTCCTGCAAGACAACTTAAAAACCACCCTGTGTTTATTGAGCTAGCTCCATACTGATCTATTAATCACCATAAAAACATCAGCTGGCACAAACCACCTGGGTGACTAAATCCAGACCCTCAGGCAACCATGTAATGAGTATTCATTCTTCAAGATCCATAAAACATCTGTTCCATGTAGCCTCAAAATTCCCTATCTGTTTCTGTTTATTATGATGAGCCCCTCAGAGACAGCAGCAGGTGACCTAGAAGCTGAGGCTTGCGGAACCGCAGGCTCCCTGCTACCAGGGAGAACGTGGCTGGAACAGAGGGTCCCAAAGACGAGGGTGGTGCTGCTCTGTGCATGCAGTCATGCCAACTGGAACGTATCCCGTCTTCACCTGAAACTAGCCTCTCTCTTGTCTCCTCAGTCTTGATAACCATTTACTTTTGATTTCCCTTTGGCTCCTGTCTTGTTCCTTATGCTGGACCTTATAGTCCTAACGTGCTCTAATAACATCCTACTACAAGAGCAGGATTTCTCTAGAGAGAGAAAGGATAAAAAAAGCCATCCTGGGCAGGTATTCACAAGCAAACAGTACCTCTTATATTTGAACATGAGGAACTGACAGCAAGAATTAAATAAGTAACCATAAAACCATTTGCAGGTTATCCTGAAGTATTGGCACAGTTGAGGAAATTGCAGTGTGCCTACTAACACTTGGGGAACAAATTTAATGAGAATATTTTGTACTAAATGTTAATCGAAACCCAGTTTCAGGCAGATTATGGTGTCATAAATATTAGATGGAGAGGCAGATTGCGCTCATTTTGCTGTGGTAGGGAAGATTGAGTACAAAACTACTAATGTTTAGCAGGGGAATGATACAAAATGCAGCTGAGCCGTTGAGGCTGGTAGGGACATACATTCTAGACTCTCTTCACTGCAGTATTGTTCTTACATTTTTAAATCCTCTGTAAAGCACTTGAAGTTCTCTTTTAGTGAAATTGGTTTGTGCTTCAAGCTGTTCCAGTCCTTCGGGTCTATGGCACACCGTAGTCATTTCTAATTCATCTTCAATTTTATCTGAAAGAGAAAACAAGACAGTATTTATTTTGGTTGTTACCTTTGCTGTATTAACATGATGGATAGAACAGACTGGATTTCAAGAGCAACAGAAAAAAAAGCAACCATCAACAGAACCGATCTGTGTAACTGTTTTCAACCTCTTGAAAGCACAATAAAAGCCATATAAGTAAAGCAATAGCTTACATTTCTTACTGGGCTGCCAGTTAGCTCCCCATTCACAAAGCCAAAACTGGAGGTGAGAACAGAAGGGCAAGCAGCAGATACACTGCTCCAAAAGGCAACATCAGATATTTACCTTTTTTTGGAGGAATAGGCCTTTCAAAGTACTAGCTTTAAAGAAAGCTGTGCAAATATAAGTGAGAGAGCAGACATGCTTAAGCATATTAGACAACGGTATCATACTGAGGGTAAACAGCGAGGGAAGCTCTCCTGGGTGCTAACCAAAAAGCTTGCTACAGAGACTAAGGGTCACTTTAATCCTAGGAGAAATCCAAATGATGTCCACAGTTGCTGAATCTGAAATGAATCCAGTCTACATTTGTATGGACTTTTTGGGGAAACAGATAAGCAATGAAAAATACTTATGCGCATTTTATTCAAGAGAACGTTCTCCCACAAGGAAGAAAAATACTCGATCCTGTATTACCTATTAATCCTATATTACCATAATCTCATCTCTTTTCTGATGCATGTTTTCACACGTCAAGCCCATTTCCCCAGCAGTATAGGTAATGCCCAAGTATATACAGATGCTTACTGTATGTCAGTTTAAGATTCTCTAAACTTTGGTGACCAGATGCGATTTTCAGCTGCCATGAAAAACCTGTCTACATCCAAAAGCTGCTTGGCATAAAAGCTAACACTCCCCTTATTATCAAAACCTCACAATTTATGCCCTGTAAAAATGTCCTAGGTTATTGGGCTCAAGTATCCTACTTTTTCTGGAAGACAAGGATTTTATGAGAAATGTGCAAGGAAATGGAGTCACTCTGAACAGAGGAAAGGTATGAATTCAGAGCAGATGGGGACAGTGAAAGAACAGACCAGACTAAAGCTATATTTTCATAATTAATTCTGCACATATATATGAATGTTATTAAGGGAGAACACACATAAATGAGTAATAATGGTTAATTAACATTGGTTTGTTGTTTCAATATTAAGAAATCAGTTCGAAATATTGGTGAATTCAGCCATCCTCCTAATCCACTGTGTCTGGAGCTTCACAGTCAGCATTTGTGGGGCCTTAGAAGTAAAAATACTTGCCTTATTGACTTTGAGCACAGGCATGAGACTGTAACAGCATAGGACAGGAGGAGAGTATCACAACCATTTATGATGCAGAAGAAATTACTGAATGCTGGCAAGTGGCCAGCAGGAGACACCTTCTCCACACAAAGGGAAAATGAAGAGTCTAGAAATTATAGCTCCTGTTAGAAGAAAGGAGATGGAAAAGGATGTCTGCTACAGGAAAAAGAGCAGAATAAGTGGAAATAGCCATTTTCTTTGAAGGAGAAGGCATGCCACAAAATGAAGGAATGCAGAAGAAGCTGTAGAGAGAGAAAAAAGTGAGGAAGAAATTTCTTAAAATGAGGGAAGGGGAATGAGTGGTTGAAAAAAGGAGAGGAAATCCATTTAGAAGGGAGCCAGGTTAGGGAGACTCATCACTAATCCACACACTGTATAGGAAATACCCTTTTGTTTACCTTTGGTTAATGATGTTACCTAAAACCCTTTGCAAAATGCATGTAACCCCAGGTGACTCTCCTGCATTCCCCTCCTGTCCCCCAATGCAATGAGCAGCTCACACATGACGCTGACATTTCGTTTCTGCACAGGAAGACATGTATTTTGCGCTGTGTGGTACATAAACAAGGTAGGCTCTGAGCCTTCCTCTGCTCTCTAACCAGTAAACCATGCCCAGCTTTTCACTGACATTCCCTATTGATTCAGTCACTTTCCAGTTCTTTACAGCTCCAGTCAATGTAAAATACTAGCTATCTAGTCTCAATATCCCATAATGTAATTCAACAGAGAGGAAAAAAAGAAATCTATGCAACCTCGTATAAATGGTGAGGCTAATGAGGGAAGCCAGCCTGCTTGATTACTCTCATACCTGGTTTTATTTACTCTCCTACAATGTGGAGGTTCATGGGGTTTCTACAGAGGCAGGAAAGATCCATCTGAGAAAAGTCACGCTCCTTGCAAAAGCATTTTGATATGACTAATTTTTTGCGTGTGTTTTATTTGCCATATACTTCCCCCACCTCCTTCTTAGGCAACCAGTTTTCCAAAATGGAATTTGTGTTAGTACTCCAAAAACCAAATGATTAAAGAGGAAGGTCTTGCTCATGGAAATGTGCTCTATAGCTCCATGATAGCTTTAAAGAAAATCTGTGGAATTACAGCTCAAATGTCAAGAGTTCTTTGGCTTATCCACATGGCTTTTATATGAGCAGACCCAAAATTAGGGTCTTAGAATTATTTTTTCAAAATATTCTTGAATAAAATTTTACTTGATGAACACTGTAATTTAATAATGGTATATTGTCTTTTGATAATACTGGCCTTATTCAGTGAATCATTATTTCAAAAGAGTGCAATTAATCTTCTTCAGCTCGTCCTGCAAGAATAGGTTTTTCCAACAGTCAGTTCATGAGCTTTGGTCCCCCAGGGTGGATATTTCTATGTTAAAAATAAGCCAGATTATTGTTGTAGATTTGATTTTATTTCCCATGCTGAGAAACGTGGCTCTTCTCTTTATAACAATCTGCAGAAAGGAAATTATGAAAAATTCATCCCTTTCAAAGGGATGCTCTGCTTTTTTGTTCCGTTCTCTATTCCAGAACCAGCATTAACCTCTGCCTCTGAAGAGGATCTGATGGTTCCCTGTGGGTTAATCCTTTTGTCTGCTTCCTCTTCCCTTCCCAAGGGAAATATTTTGAAACTTAGCAAAAAAAATTGTGAAGGTTTAGATCTGGCCAAGGCGGCACTCAAAATGACACAAGACCAACAATTTTCCAGTAAACACACTCTAAAAATGGTAGAAATTGTTCCTTCAATGGAACGTGCCCCGATGCAACAGAGCAGTCCTGGGCACTTCTCGGAGCCTCGCTGCAGAAAATAAATCCAAGACAGACTTATTAGGTCATTTTGTCCATCACTTGCCAACAAAGAGCTACTTTCCATGGTGTTTCATGATAATATCTGTTTTAAAAGATCAAACTTATTCTAAATGAGTAACTACTTCACATTCACAGGCCTCACAACTCTAGCATTCCCTTGCTTGTGTTCACCAGACATTTACATTTAAACTTTTCTCAGCTGTCATCCCATAGTCAAAGATATCCCTCCAGCAACGACTCTTTCATCCCTGCTCCCTTCCTGGCGAGAGCCTGCAGTGGGCATAGCACAGACCTCAGACCAGGGAGGAACCCGGCGCTGGAGACCCAAGGATACAAACTGCTCTTCTGTGCAAATCGATCCTTTCCAACTCAATAGTCCCCACACCCTCCACAAAGATCTTTTTCTCATTATTGGATCCCTTTCGTTCTTTTCTCTTAAGTCAGCTCTTTTCAACCTTTTTCTTCCATTCACTGACACCCTACAAATTAACCACAGTAACCTCAGTGGCGAAGGAGACTGTCACTTGCTCATCTGCCCTTGCCTTTTATCATGTATATTATATTTCCTCTTATTTACATTTTCATTATCACACGGGCTCAGTCCCTCCCAGCTCTTCAGGGATGTCACTGTATGAAATATGAGCCCTTGCATTTATAAACGCCATCATTTTATTAAACTGAAGCTCATTTTATGGTGGTGAGTGCAAGCAAAATGTGTATATGTATAAATACACACATGCCAAGTTAAAGCTTTATTAGGAAAGCGTGATGTTATATTTTATCTAATATCATGTTTTTCCTCTGTTTTGCCTTGTTTACAACTTGCTGAACACCCTGAGAAATTTGAGCATGGGAAACAGGCACACCACTGGTTTAAAGTTAATGTTCTTCTCCTTGAATTTGCAAGTGCATGGAGAGACCTAGGGACTGGCTGCAGACACTCCAGGGGTGCGTGTGGTCACCTCCCCAGCTCAGGTGACACATGAGATGAGATACAGCTGTTGCCTACAGCATCCCTTCTGAGCTGAAACTAAGCCCTGCCCTGCTCACCTCAGGGTCTGGGTACCATACAGCTGGCTGGTGAAAATGGAACTTCAGCAAATGGGTCCAAATTTATTACTATGGATCTCAAAGCACCTGTTTTTTTCCTGTTGGGTTATCCGTGCTTATCAATTAGGGGGACTATGTAACTAAAACAGGAGGTTTCTTCTGCTTGCAGGTACTGAGAAATGATAATTCACTCTTTTTTTTAGCTCCAGCACTTGTTGAAATCATCCCCGGGTTAATCCCTTCTGTGCCAGATGGCTGCAGCAAGTTGTGTCCTAGGTTTAGGAATTCCTGCACTGCTCAGCCAGTGCAGAACACGCCTGTGCATTTGCTTAGCTGTTTCTCTTGCCATGTGTTTAAAACTGGAGGAATGGGGAGTAGCACATTTTGATTTATAATTTGGCCACATTTTATGGCTGCTTTAATAGCAGGGTATGAAGCCTGGGTCTGGTAGAAGTGCCTGTAGTAATCTTACTCCAAAGTAGGTCCAGGTTATAACAATTACTTAATCTGGCATCTTTTTGCAGAAGATCATCATCTCTATTTGCTTAGCCCATAGGACAGGCACATTTTGTATATCAGGCAAAATAAATAGTGGCTTCACTTTACAAAAAAAATGATCCTGACATACTTGCATGCACATGCATATTTAATGGATTGTTGCTAATGGAAGATACTGTATTTAATTTCCCTGCTGCTTGCTCAAGAGCAGAGAATGAATTCTCATTAAAGTAGATCAATATTTTAACTGAATACACTTTGGAAATTACTTAATGAGGCTTGCTTTGTACATCCTTTCATATTGACTCTAATTTTACCTTTTGTTATCTATTAACTGAATACACTTTGGAAATTACTTAACGAGGCTTGCTTTGTACATCCTTTCATATTTACTCTAATTTTACCTTTTGTTATCTTTAAAATTTGAAGATTTCCATATTTAGACTGCCTGCAAATGGCCCTGTGTTTCCCTGCTGTAAACTTTGCTGAACAGAATTTGCATTCTCTGAGTGATAAACTGGAGTAATTTAAGCCTATTCATGCAAAAGCTGCCTTGTACATCTACATGCCGACAGACAAAATTGTTTCATCATTGAGGAAAAGAGATTTTCAACCACAGCTGACTATTGTTCTCCACCACAGAACCAGGCAGAGGGACTCACGTTCTACCCTTACGCTTATCCATTGTAAAGACCAAAAATCTGTTGATTTTGAAGGAAAAGGACCTGCTCCAGTATTTCACCTTTACAGATCTTCCTGTTCCTTTGGACACAGACACATTTATCTGCCATGTTATGGTCAAACATTGTTTCATTGTCAATACATCTTAAAAACACACAGGTAACATAATAGGCATCCAAGGCAGCTACATGAACAGCGGCACTGCCCACAACCAGCTCCTGTAGGTGCAATGCCTGTTGGAGACCCAGCCAGGAACTCGGCAGCAGCAGGCACAATACGTGCCGCTGTCAGCATGAAGTCCTAAAATGCTCTGCTGACGGCACATCTTCTCCTATTTCCATTCAAAAATGCCGAATCAATATTCTTCAGATCTAACAATCCTTTCCTCGTAAGCAGAACAGATTAAATTGGTCACAAACAATGACAAAGTTGTATTTGCGTAGTATAAAATAAGAAAAAAATTGTGTGTTATGTACCAGCTGCTATCTCAGCTCTGGCTTAAAATGCTCTGCTGACGGCACATCTTCTCCTATTTCCATTCAAAAATGCCGAATCAATATTCTTCAGATCTAACAATCCTTTCCTCGTAAGCAGAACAGATTAAATTGGTCACAAACAATGACAAAGTTGTATTTGCGTAGTATAAAATAAGAAAAAATTGTGTGTTATTTACCAGCTGCTATCTCGGCTCTGGCTTTGAACAGCTGTTGGGTCCAAATTCATTAACCTGCCCGTCCTTCCTCTCGCTAGCGGCTGCCTCTACACAAGCACCATGTTGCACAAAATCACAGGGTTGGTTTCGCTGGGCCAAACTCACTTGTGAAACACAAGAAACTTCAAACACCTTTCCCACAGCAGCCACACCTGCAATACTGCAGCATTTCCAGCCCTCCAACCTGGCAAACCAGCAACAGCAATGTCTCATTGCATCGCTAGGGCTGGCCAAGGACAACCCAAGGCCCCAAACACAGTTTAAAGGGAGGGTGTAAATGATGACTTAATAAAAATGCAAATGACCCTGTCCCCTGCTTCCAAAGGCTGCAAGGTGAAATGGTGTAACGCCAGGCTCCGTGACTAATGGGAAGACTTGAAAACACGTTGCTTATAATAAATTCAGTTTTTGTTAAAGAAAAAAATCCAGATGTAAAATACAGCTAATGTGCCCAGTGTTAATTGTAAAACTGACAAGTATTAGATGAAATGGGTAATTTTACAAATACAGCAGGAGGGGATTAAATTATGTGCAAGAATTATTAGACTGCATCTTGTTTTTATTAAAAAAACATTAGCTATATTTTAGGAGCAAGGACCTGAAAAAAATTAACTCTAGTTTATCCACGTTGTCTTTGAAATTAATCTCCAGACAGAATACTTGCTTGGCCAGATCTCGCAGGAAACAGATCCTGCCTGTGGGCAACCAATTGCAAATATTTGAAAATTTCATGAAGAGAAATAACTGAAGGCCTCAGTCCATAAATGCTCATTAGAGCAGAAAGTTATGGGAATGGGAGTGAGGCAAGAGCCGTCCTACTGATGCAGACCCTGCACATTGGCTTCAGTGTTCCCCCCGCTGCTCTAAGCGGGAGTTGTAGGAAATACTGCTGCTGTGAAGTCCTTCGAGGTTTGTGGTTCCAGATCCCTGGGGCAAAGGCAGCTACCAAATACTGTTCCACCATCTGGAACAGTCAAAATAACCCTGTGCAATTCCATGGGTTTCTACCAAGAAAAAACCTAAGTGTTAGCTTTTAAGCAACCCCATCTGGCAAATACTTACAAATCAACAAGGCTAGCCTAGCAGGTAGTAAGAATACTGTTTTGCCTGCTGACATTCCCAGAATGACAGCTCAGATAGGACTTAAAACATGTACCTGCAAATCTATGAATCCTAAAAAAGGGTAAAGTAAAATCTGCTCAAACATCAATAAAAAAATGGCACTAAGATACCTACTGATGTATCTAATATTAAACACATTTAATTTAAACTGAACAGTCCTTTATTAATAAATTATTGTTGTTATTATTAGTATTATCGCCTGACTGAAGAGATCAATTTCCAAACCAAAGGGACTCTCCAGCCAATATAACAAAAAGGAACAGATGTCTCCTTATCCACTCCCTTTTCCCAAAATGATTTTTTTTACTCCTTCAGGTCCATTTTCACCACTAAATCAGCAACATCAAATTCATTACACAAGTAATCAAGCTTAGCAAGGTTGTTCTGCTCATGCGAACCTGCAACACCACCAGCTGCAGAGAAAAGCTACATGAAAACATAAAAAAAATAGAATTTTAAGATTTCTTGGCTAATCCTTGCAATCATCTATGCAAAATATCACGTATAAACACTTTGCCTCTATACTCCTTCAAGTGGTTTCACAGTTGTACACAGGGAAGCTAAAACAAGGTTATACTCTGAAATAGGAGGTGCAGGAATAGTCAGAGGCCACACGTACCTCCAAAATGTCTTTCTGGCACACAACTAAGACCAGGTACAATGATTTGAACATGAACTACACAATGCCAAATTTTACTTGGAGTGTTTCTACAGACACTGCATTAACTCTCCTCATCAGCAGCAATCGCTTTGCTGTGGCCATTCCCAGCCTAGCAGACAGCAGGGTGTCCTTCCAGGGCACTGGACCCTACATGGGACAGCACTTTCTTTTCAATTTTCCTTGTGCATTGACACCTATCTGTAACAACATTTATAAGGGAAGCAACTTGTCAAAACAGGTGGAAAACCACTGAAAGCTTGCTGGGTGCTTTGCTGCTTTTCCATGGGGATGCTGTAGAAAAAGTGCTTTGGGACAAGCGCCTTCTTCCAAGCAGCTGTTGAATGTGCAAAAAAAGTTCACTAGAAAGGTTAGAAAATCACTTCCCTCTGATGGTTTTTTGGAAAATTCCCACTAATACCATCTCTAAACTTTACATGGAGACAACCTGAACTAAGTACTTAGCATGCCATGCAATAAAGCACTGCACAGAGAAGGATGTGGAGGTTGAGTAAAAGCTGGAACTGCCTTCATCAGAGGGAACTCGGCTGCTCCCCGGGCTGCAGCCTTATCCAGGAACGGGGCAATGTTCAAGCACCTTTAATTTTGTTTGCTGCCAGCATGGAAAGTGAGAACAAACTCAGCCAGGAGAACCTGTTTTCTAGCTTAAACTTTTGCTACAAAACTTATATGACCGATAGAGTCAAACTGTTTTAAATTTTACCTCTCTGATACACGTAAAACCATCGAGCAGGGTCTAGGAAAAAGTAGGAAAAAAATTTAACAAAAAGAAGGTGACAAACATACACAGCTTTGTCTTTTGTTAATTTTAAGGTGACATTGGATGTGTTCTGCAAGTGCCATAGGGTCCCCTTACCCAGTGACTGTAGGATTGTCTCCAGGTGTGTTTTACATTTTTTTTCCCC